GGGGGGGGGGGGGGCAGCTGCTGTTGAGCATCCCTTATCAGATCTGTCTATTTTTATCTCTCCTCTGTCCAACAGAGAGACCACTCCTGCATAAATAAAGGTATAGATGATATGTTTAAATTAGCTAAAGCCGAGGAATGCAAAAGAGAAAGTAAATTAATTAAATAAAAACATAATTCATAATTTGTTGAAATTGGTGCATGAGTCCTGAAGTATCTACAACTATAGTGTGTATGTTATCTGAAATGGTAGATTTAATGATTCTTCTTGTAAATAAGGATCCCAAAAGCTGTCAGAATGCTCTGTTAAACAGCTCTCTCTAGTGAAAATGACGTTCTGTAGGTAGCCAAACACCTGCAAAGACACAAGACTGAAAGTTCCCTCCGCTTTACACACTGCTGAGTTCAATCCTAAATATGACATTTCAGTTTCAGCTTCCAAATCCACAAAACAAGCGGTTCCGCATCAAGTTCGACGTCAGACAATTCCCTGCTAACCCGTCCACACCCAACCTCAGAAAGTGTCCCTGTTTAATCATCACTGCTTAAAGTCTGTGGAACTACGTTTATGGTGTCTCTGTTCCATTCTGCTGTTTCTCTCTTAGGTGTTGCCGGTGTCTAATTAAACTCCTAAAACAGGTAAAAAAGAAGAAAAAAAGAATGAAGGACTGAAAAAAAGAGGAAGCCCTTATCACCTCATGACAGTGTGAGACCCAAAAAGATATGACTTCAAACACGACCGGATCCACCTTATGCAACTACAACTTGACCAGGTGGAACGAAAGCATGGACGGAATGTACACCTACTTCTACCTGCTGCTCTTCATCCCCGGGCTTCTGCTCAACACCACAGCCCTCTGGGTTCTCTGCAGACACATCAGGTAAACGCTCACTGAGCCCGATAAATAAAGGCCTCCGCCGTACATTTGTTTCGAGGCTGACTCTCTGTCGTGTTCCTCTACACAGCAAGAAGACCAAGGCGGTGATCTTCATGATAAACCTGGCTCTGGCGGACCTGGCCCAAACCCTGTCCCTGCCCCTCAGGATTTACTACTACTTCACGCACACCTGGCCCTTTGGACAGGGGATGTGCTTGTTCTGCTTTTACCTCAAATACTTAAACATGTACGCCGCCATAGTGTTCCTGGTACGTGTGAGTTTTGTTTTGTTTTTGTTTTTTTTGGGTGAAAACCATTCAGGAAAGTTTTCAGGGGTTATTTTCCCTTTTTTAAATTCCTTTTAACCAAAGAGGAACTCATCCTCCTCCGAAGTTCATCATGCATGCTGTTGCCATTTCAGGGCTGCATCAGCGTGCAGAGGTGCGTCTTCCTGCTCGACCCATTCGCCGCCCGCCGGTGGAGGCGCCGCTACGACCTTCTGATCAGCGTGATCGTGTGGGTGGTGGTTGGCCTCGGTTGCTCGCCTTTCATTCTGATGCGGAGCAAAAGCGGCGCGCTGACAGCCGCCAACGTGTCCCGCCCGCTGGGTATCGTTTCCACCCAGCTGAGCCCGGGGAGGCCCGAGCCTTTCACGTGGCCGTTGAGCACGGCTCCCAGCGTACAAACGACGCCCGACAGAGGGAGCTGTTTTAAAGACCTCCCCATTCGCAAAGTGAACTTCTCCATGGCTGTCAGCATGTTGAGCCTGGCCGAGCTGTTTGGGTTCGTGATCCCTCTGATCTGCATCAGTTACAGCTCCGTCCGCATCGCCTGGTCCCTGAAGCACAGCCAGGCCCAGGATGAGCAGAGCGCCGCCTCGTCGGGCTCTACCGCCCGCAGCAGACTCCAGTCGGTCACTTCCAACGGCCAGCCGGACAAGTACGACAGGCACGCCAACGGGGAGAAGCAGCGCGCTCTGCGGATGGTGCTGAGCTGCGCCGCCCTCTTTCTGTTCTGCTTCGCCCCGTACCACATCAACTTCCTGCTCTTCATGATGGTGTCGCAGGACTACGTGTCCCACTGCGCCACCCGGCTGGCGGTGAAGCAGTTCCACCCCGTGTCTCTCTGCATGGCCAGCCTGAGCTGCTGCCTCAATCCTCTCCTCTACTACTTTCTCACCGCAGAATTCCGAAAGCACCTCACCAAGCGCACCTCCTCCTTCTCCTCCTCGCTCCTCTCCTCCCCGACGACGTGCCCCGCGCGGAGCAAACTGCTCAGGTTGGAGAGCACTTGCTCAGAGAGGGACTAGTTTTGGGAAAAAGGAGAGCAGACAGGGAGAATTACTCGAGGCGTTCTTTAACCTCAAAGCAGACTGACCAGGTTAGAACGGACAGCTGGTTCAAGTCTCTACCTGTTTAAATGCAAAACCCATCGCTTTAGAAAGCACGAATAAGACATGTCTGTGTTTTCTTTGGACCCAAACAATATCTCACAACAATTGTCTGACATTGGGATATGTTTTTTTCTTTTTTTAAAGTCTGTGTCAAATCGGAGTGAAATGTTCCAACTTTGAATAAGCTAAGTGATTCAAAGCTGTAATGCCAAAACCCCCTGTCGTGCTTCACTGTGAATAAAACCTGAGCTTAATGTCTGACCTGCGTTTTTTGATGCCTGCCTCTCGTGTGTGTGTCGGTGTGTGTTTGCACCCAACGGGTGACATGCAGCTCATGGAAACAGGTGGCAGAGGGTTTTTTTTGCTCCACTTCCTCTGCAGTTGCTACAGCGCAGAAAAACGGTAACTGCCATGCTTTTGAATCTGGCTTTAAAACTTGTATTGAGGCCTCAATAGGCAACCGCCTTCATTCCCATCCACTGTACCCAACACCAGGCAATTGTGAGGCCGCAACGGGCAGATGAGCTCAGCCCACATCCGAAAGCACCCATGCATTGTGCTCCTGTGGTGAAAGTCCAGAATGAACCTCCAGAATGAACCTCATAGACCTTATTTCATTTCTACGACACAAAAGAACCTTTTTAAAAGCAGTTTTCGGACCAGTATTAACTTGACTCTTTGATCTAGTTTCAACTAAAGATACATTGTGTTTGGACGCCGGCCGAGGGGAAACAGACACACACGTCACAGCAGAAGTGTTAGAGTTAAAATTTCATGCAAGCCCCACCTCCTCTGCTCACAGGAAACCCCGCGTGTGCATGCCGAAATCCCCAACGCAGCCAACAGACGGACAGAGACGGGCCCCAGCTACAGCAAGAGTAAGGTGACAGAACACAACAGGAAACTGATCGAGAAGAATCAAGGTGTGACTGGTTGAAAGAGGCAGCAGCAGAAGAAGATAAACCTCTGGCATGAGAAGAGGATGAGAAGGGAGTGTGCTCTACTGATTTCTCACCCCACTGGCTTCCGATGCTGAGACGACGCAGGGCTCGAGGACAGAGGTGAAAATTGTCTCCTGTCTTCCAATAGCTGATCGAATAACGAGAGAAATGGTGGGAAAGGCTGGACGAGCAAAATTCTTGAAGTGTAGCGTCATTCCCCATGGGGGATCACGCATGTTACTCCAATGTGAGGAATGCCGGTTATGTTGAGGGTGTGTGTGTGTGTGTGTGCGTGTGTGTGTGTGTATACGTGTGTGTGTGTGTGGGGGTAACTGTCACAGAGTCTCCCTTTTGGCGTCCATGTGAGGTGTAGTCCATGATGATTGTGCTGTGTTTTTGTGTGTTGAAACAGCAGCACACACGTGGAGGGGCCCCCGGGTGCTCACGGCTAGCTTTTTGGGTGCCGTTACGTGATGCCAGATGTCATTTCAGGATGGAAAAACTCTTACACCCCGACAACCCACAGACTGATGATTCACAGCAGATAGAATAACGTTTCCAGCAGCAAGTTTCGAAGGACCGAAACCGTCGAGACGTGAAAGGTAGGAAAGTTTTCAGTTTTCAGCCTCATTGTCCAAACCTGAACTGCTTATTTTAACTTTAATAATAAAAAAAAAATGTTTTAAAAGACATGACCAGCTTCTTGATAGCTTCACCTTTTGTTGGTTTTGACAGGTCTGCTATGTCTGTCTATAAGGAGGAAATGAAAGCTCAGCATTGAGTCACGTTACAGTTAATAGTTAATAGTTTTTTTATCACATGAACGATCTCTGGCCGAGACTTGACGTGTGCCAAAATGAATGTGAAACATGGAGGATCATGTGGAACAGAGGTCAATGGCAAAAATGAGGTTGAGGGAGTGAAAGTCTGCCGGGAGGCTGTCAAAAGATACGAGAAGGAGTCCAAACTAAACAGAGCTGGTTCTTTCTCTGCAAATTCCCGCTAGTGTCTTTGATGGGAAGTGCTGCTTCTGATTTTTTCTAACTTGATAAGCGTGTATGAACCCTATATTTTGAAAATGAATGAAGGTTCAAACCTTTCACTGGGGATGGACCAAATGATCTTATTAAGACTGTTTTTATGGTTGTAACAGTGAAAGCTCCCTCCTTGTGGCTTTTTTCCCCCTCCTATATGGAGCAATTTGACTAACTTTTTACATGATCTGCTACAAAAGTCATGAGCCTTCTTTGTGCATGGATCAAATGGATTTGTATTAATGAATAGTAATATGCATTTCTAAAATCACAATCAGTTCATGTGATTGGGTGTTTTCTTTTCACCCCCCCTGGCTTTGAATCACCTTTCCTTATAAACAGGCCAAACTTTAAAATGGCCTCTTAAAAGTTTTTTTTAAATCTTCTAATCAACATACAGGTTTTTGAGGGTTTTAGAAAAACAAGCAGTGTCTTTTAAAACCCATGGAATTCGATGCTTGAATGGCAGCAAGGGTTGGTGTACGATGCTGTCTCCCCTTTGCCTCTGTGAAAAACTTGGCAGGCATTCTGGATATTTTCTTCTCTGATTCCAGAGTAGAGTTCATTGAAAGGCGTCAAGTGGACAAGATAATGGTAGATACCACTAGGGAGGATTTGGCAAAAACAAAGTATATCAAAAGTTTATATTAAGGGGCCCAAAATGGATCCAAGAGGGACACCACAAGAGAGACAGAAAATGACACCACAGCAGTCCACTGCTTCAGTGGTGACAATATTTCTGTTTCAGTGTTTCATTGGGAGCTCAGAAAGGAGACTTAAAAATGTGTGAAAACAAGTTGATGTAATGTCAGCCTCTTTTTTCCAAAGTAGTTGGACTGCTATTTCTTCAAAGCTGGACAGGACGAAGAAGATAAAAAAAATTTGGTTCAATTTCTTTAAAGACATCCTCCTTTAAAAACCTGGTTGTAAAAACATCAGAACGGAAGGTGGATGATTCTTGATGCAGATTTTGTTTAAATGTGGTAGGTTGATTCAAGGATCAGGAACAATCTCCATCCACCAAAGATAAAACTGCTGCTACTTTTGCGGAAGAAATACCTGAATAATGTCTCATAATCCTCATCTGACTGGTTGCAGAGACCATTTCCATTCATTAACTCTTTGACATCTTCACTTAGAAAACCAATTTGCTTTGCCAAGGGAGACTGTGTTATTGAGAAGCCAGCCTTGATTACCCAAAACTGCTTTATTTATTCATTTTTGTTACCAAACTACCAAATTGGATTGCAGATTTTTCTTTGCCATAGCTTGGAAAGTTCAGTCAGGCAACTGGACATAAAGTTTTCTAGAAGACGTTTCGCCCGTCATCCAAGAGGCCTCATCAGTTCTACCTTATGGTGGGGAGCACTGAGATGAATATACTGTAGGTGTAACAAAATAATTGGGGGGAAAAAAACAAAAGGTGGTTCTGATCCCTCCCCTTTCTTTGCCATAACCAACAATATTTTGTTATAAGTTCTGCATTACATCATATTGATGTTAGGACTTAGATGCTTAAGTAATGTTTCTTTCGATTTCAAAAGATTAACAATTTTGACTAGTTTTTACATAAAACCTAAAATGTGAAAAAAAATCATGTTATTGGAAAAATAAATAGTGCAAAACTTTTCAATGCTGTGGAATGTTGGATCAGCTTAGGTCACGTGACAAAATGAGAGGGGCTCAAACCATTTTTAGCTCAAACAGAATGTCGCTGACAAAAGGGCTGCCCCCCCCCAACTAACGTGAGCAGTTTGCGGTCGATGCTTTAATTGCTTTGTTTCCATAAATGGTTTGTATGAACAGTTTAAACATGTTCTGGACGATTTTTGTTCTCCCCCTCCTTCTTAAACACTTTCATTTTGTGCTGTCGGTTATGTGAGAAAAAAAAACTACTCTGCTGGTGTGAGGTGTTGCCGCTCAGGTCTAGCTTTAGAGAACTGCCTGACTTCAGAGCGCTCATCCAACCACTGCTGGGTGCAGAGACGTTTCACAGCGGCGTGTTGTGGGCTCCCCTGCAGGTGATGCTGCTGTGTGGGAGACTGCAACATCCACACCTTCCATGGGCGTGCACGCTTACCGTACTAGTACAGTGCAGTAGGCCGGGGGCAAACATCAGTTCAGGGCGTCACGTGCCGCACGGACGCACCGACGGCCCCCCAGGGGGTTGTAGTTGGTGTGCAGAGTCATAAATGGCATGGCCATAAGTTGCAGGTTCCTTTGTACTTCCTCGGTCAAACATGCAATATGCAAATCCTGTGGGTCATTCGAATCTCGTTTGTGAAGTCAGACATCAATGGTTGCCTCTGTGTCAGCATGCACGGGGCTGGTTTATCACTGGCACGATTTATGAGCCAACAGGGCGTCAAGTCTGCGCCTCTGACAGTGAGGTAACAGACGGCCTTTTTTTTTTTCACCAGCATTTTGACAAGCGAAGTTCTTCTTTCCGGTCGCATCTGTAAAACGCTGTAAAAGGCGTTTCTCTGCTCCAGCAGCGCAACCGGAGACGGCTTGACCGGTGTCGGACGGCTCCTGCTCGCCGTGAAGGACGGCATGGAAACTCAGACGAAGCGCCCGGCGGGCCGCCGGCAGCTGCCCTGATAACAAGCTTCCAGCAGGTTGGCGAGACCTCCCCGACAATGAACGGCAGCTGCCATGACGTGGACGACCTGAAGACCTACCTGCACCACATCTACGCCGTGGTCTACAGCGTGATCCTGGCGCCGGGCCTGCTGGGCAACGTGCTGGCGATCTGGGTGTTCAGGGTCTACATCAAAGAAACCAAGAAGGCCGTGATGTTCATGATGAACCTGGCTGTGGCCGACCTGCTGCAGGTGAAAAAAAATCCATTGGTCTCTTTTTGCACTGAAAACTGCAGTTATACTCGCTATTCAACAGGTTTCATAACAATTTAACTATCAGAATATTCCCATATGATGACTTCTTCTTTTCATGAGAAAGCTTGACTGAAACCGAAAGTATCTGTAAAGTGGCTAACCAAAGAGTATTTTAGAATATAAGTGTGTGTGCTTGTGGGGGGGGGGGTTGGTAGGCTATCTTTCAGTTTTTTTTCTATGGGATACTTTAAAACATCATTTTAGAATGAATATCCTTTCGAAATTATAAGTCAAAAAGTCAAATATTTTTCTCATTAGGTCATTAAAGTGAGCAGAAATTCAAAAATCATTGTAGAATGAAATATAATATATCTGTTGTATTGTGATTATCAATGCATCTGTTTTATATGTAATCTACTATCCATCTGTCTGCTACCTGTAGCACTATTCTCAATTCAATTCAATTTTATTTATGTAGCGCCACATCACAACAACAGTTGTCTCACAGCGCTTTCCAAACAGAGCAGGTCAGACCCTACTCTGAAGTTAACTACAGAAACCCAACAATTCCCACCATGAGCAAGCACTAGGCGACACAGGCAAGGAAAAACATCCTTTTAACAGGCAGAAACCTCGAGCAGAACCATGGCTCAGGGTGGGCGGCCATCTGCCTCGGCAGATGGTCTAGTATGGTCACAGGGGGCCGGAGCCTATACCAGCTCACGATGGGCACAACCTGGACAGGTCATGACATGGCTAATGTCCTCCATACAAGTTAAATAAATCAGTTCTCGGTCAAAGCAATGTTGAAAAAAAAAAAAAACAAGATGAAGGAAAACAACTTTAGATACCGAAATTTGATACTACACAGACTGGCACTCAAGCATATGAATCAAAATAACACAACTGAAGATAAAATTACTTGATTTCCTAAATCGTGTTGCCTTTTTTGGCAACACACAGAAAAACAGCTTGCTGTTTGTCTTCCTGAAACAACTCTGGCTCTTCCCAGGTGCTCTCCCTGCCTCTGCGGATCTACTATTACCTGAACGACACCTGGCCCTTCGGTCTCCCCCTCTGCATGTTCTGCTTCTATCTCAAATACGTCAACATGTACGCCTCCATCTACTTCCTGGTGTGCATCAGCGTGCGGCGCTGTCAGCTCATCAAGTGCCCGCTGCGGTACGACTCCTCCAAGCGGAAAGGGGACGCCTGGGTGTGCGGGGTGGGCTGGCTGCTGGTCTGCCTCTGCTGCCTGCCTTTCCCTCTGCTAAGGAACCCCAGCTCTGAACCGACGGGTTCCAACAGCTCCATGCGCTGCTTCTCCGAGCTGCCCCTGAGGACGGTCAGCACTCCGGCCGTCTGGGCCCTGCTGATCGCGGCCGAGCTGCTGGGCTTCGTCATCCCCCTGGTCCTGGTGCTGGCCTGCGCGTTGATGACGGCCGGCAGCCTCCGGCGGGCGACGGCCAGGGCCACGCCCGACCGAGGGGAGAGGCGGAAGGCGCTGAAGATGGTGCTGGGCTGCGCGGCGGTCTTCCTGGTGTGCTTCGCGCCATACCACGTCACCATGCCCCTGGACTTCCTGGCCAAGGCCAACGCGCTGGGCGACTGCTATCTGAGGAAGCTGGTGCTGCGCAGTCACCCCGTCATGCTCTGCCTGGCCAGCTTGAACTGCAGCCTGGACCCGCTCATGTATTACTTCACCACCAACGAGTTCTGGAGACGACTGAGCAAGCCGGACATACCGGAGGGCATGACCTTAAACAGGCGCCTGTCCTGCATTAGCGGAGAGCAGCTGGACGAGGACTAGACCAGCGTCTCCTGGCCGAGTCGAAGCCCTCGAGCGCCTCAGGCGTCGGAGGGAGGTTCAAAATGTGATTCTTGTTTTTCTTATTTATTTGTGAATTTAGAAAAATGTTTCTACATAAAGAGATTTATTTAAATGACCAGAGGAGGGTGGTGGTCTCTTGTAAGTATCCGGAAAGCCAGAGGGAGGAACCAAAGCTCTGAACTCTTGATCGCATCTCAGGGATAACACACACGTTATTGGGGAAACAGTTAAGTGATGGTTTTCCCAAAAAAGAAATCAAACTTGCCAAAGCTGTCAGTAGGTAAAGAAAAGTAACTTTATTCAAGAACAAAGTGAAGTTCAATTCAGTAGTGCCACACAACTCCGCTTCTTTCAAATTCTCAAGCATTCGGTTAAAAAGCAACAAGATATCCATCCTCATCTGCTCGCTTACTGATTGATTGTCTTCCCGTGTAGAGATTGAATGAGATACTGCTGGAAAAGTTTTTTCTTTTATTGATTTTTTTTAATCCTTTTTCTTTTTTACACAAGGGCCTGATAAGCCATTCTACCAAAACGAATCTACTCATGTAAGGTGTTATTGTAACGACATAAAACAAGATTTTAGCACAAACTCCTAAGCGTGAACTCCAAAGCGACACGGTCAGGTGTTTTTTTCCTGGTTAAATTCGTCTAGATTCCCCCCCCCCCCCACTCTGCCCTCAAAGCTCTGTCCTTTCTTTCTTTTAAAATGTTTTCAACAGTCACAAAAGTTTTCAACACAAAACACAAAAACTGCTCCTATAGGTTTTGCTGGTGGGTTCACGGTGGGCTACGCTGAAATAAAAAAAACACAGCAGGACAGCGGAGGCCTTCCGGGAGAGGCGGAGCACTTCTGGGAAATATGTACAAAAAGAAAGTGGGTACTGCTTGCCTTGTTTTCCGTGCCTCCCCTTACCGCCCCAGAAAAGTCGGCGGCGCCCATTTTAAACAGAACTACAACCAGACGTCTCACCAAAGCTTCTCAGTAACACGAGGATAGTTAGTAGAATGAGTAAGGGCTCTGGTCTTGAGGGGGGGGGGGGACTGACAGCTGCCTGCGGGAATCTACAGCAACAGAAACGATACTCAACACAACTGAAACCTACTGCGTTTTACAGTACAAGAGCAGCTAGAGAATATGTGAACAATAGAGCTATGAGCTATCTAAGCTTTAGGACGACACGGCAGAGGAAGGGTTTTGGGGCTTTAAACGCTGCCGGTTAGGTTCTGGCAGCACGAGCTAAAAAGCAAGGGTGGGGGAGATAATGGGGAATTTATACAAAAGTAGCTAAAAGCTCTTCCCATCCACATCCGCTCCCATCCGCTTGGCTTTCTCCTCCCCAGTCGCTCCCCCTCCCACAACGTCTGGGATCAGGCCTTGCAGATCCGGGTCTCCGTCACAAACTTGTTCTCAAAGTGATGGATGGTGAAGCAGTCGTCCGCGGAGCGCTTCTGGATGCCCCCGCCTTGACGAACACAGGCACAAAAAAAAAAAAAACATCTCAAACTGAAAGCTCTCCAACTGTTTGTATTGTTTGTTTTTTTTTTCCCTGCCCGCTTTCCCTGCCTTCTTTGCATTAACCTCTTGTCATTCAATTTTAAAGGTGTTTTCAAGGACCCATGCCGAGTTACGTGGGTCCTTGGGTCACTTCAGACAGCTTAATGATGTCAATATTGGTATGTCTGTATGGCTTCCTCCCATCTATGTTCTTATTTTTTCCAAGAGAAAAACTGTATTTCATTCAGAAAATTATATCGGGTAAGCGATGGTACTAATTTGAACACTAGTGCTCTAGGGTTACAGATGAAAAACAAATGAGTTGTTAGCACCTGTAGGGGAGCCAACGAGCAGAACAATTCGCCTCCTTTACGTGTGTTACTTTAAATTTAGCTTGAAGTTTGTGTGTTTAGTTTTTTTTACTTTTGATATTCATCAAATCTGAACCAGTGGGGAGTGATCAAAACGTGCAATCTCGCTGTCGTTTGCAAAATATGGAATTAAGCCTCCCAATGCAGGTGATGTCATAACATTAGACAAAAGACTTATCGATCCAACTAGTTTCTGATATTTTCTGAGTTAAAATACAACCATGAAATATATATATATATATATATATATATACACACACTATTCTGGATAACTGAAGTTGGACTGAGTCATTGTTCTGCATGGAAAACAGAAAATGCCACTTTTCATCTCATATTGCAAAATATGTCGCAATGTTGGACGTTTGTTTTAGATGTAGTCTATTTTAAAATATTTCCATGTATATGTGGATTTGAACACAACAGTTTTTTGTTTTATTAAGTTAAAGTTTGCCGGGTTTCTTTTACTAATCTACTAATCGGCAGAGGTAGCTGCGAAGGCTTCCATAAATCGGCCAATCAGAAGACAATGGGCTTGTAAGTAGGGAGGCCTTAAAGAGACAGTACAAGAAAAAAAGTGACCAATAAGTGGGGGGAAGAGACAGTTAGTCTTTGATCACTTAAAACTCAACTTTGGTGAAGCAAAAAAAAACAAAAAAAAAAAAACACAGAGATGGACATAATAAGTGGCGATTGGCCGACGTGAAAAAAACTGAATTTCTCAAAGACCGGCGCATTATACCTGGCAGGCTGGAACGACGCTGCATTCTGTAGGTTTCCTTCCCATCGCACAGCCGGCGGATATAGAAACCCAGAGGCTTGACGTCATCGATGCGCTCGGTCACCACAAGGTCCTCGTGCACCAGGTAGCTGCGGTATGAGTCAGACTGGGAACAAAGAGAGACAAAACAAACAGAAAAGGTGAGGTCATCGCTGCACACCTTTGCCCGAGTCTCAGAGCGCCGAACAGGATGTGAGAAAGCCACACACCACATGCTGTACGTAAACTAATGAAGCATGTTCTCCAAATAATCACAAGTTGTACTGGTTATTTCTGGATAGGCACAACAGACAAAAAAAAATTCCACAGGTAAAAAAACGTATCCAAACCTTTTATTTATTTATATATATATACATATATTTTTTTTTTTTAAGGCCTGTTGATGATCACCAACATGCTAGCAAAGTCTTCTCCAGCTGTGCGGACCATGTGCATCTGGCCTCACCGTCATAAGCTGACTTAAGTTTATTCGGTCTATCCTCAGCCGGTTTGGAGTTTGTTTTTTTAAATTTAGCACATACATTTGGAGGACATGTTTTAGTATTAATAGCACTGCACTATAAAAAAAAAAACAGGAACCTGCTAACCACTGTAGAGGAAGAGAAAAAATAAAAAAAGATTTAGGGAAGTTTTTTTTTTAAATTAATGCTGCCTTCATAACGGAGTCCTCTTTGTCAGAATTTTTGTCTGCTCGTTTCATTTTGAATGTAACTAAACTAAAAAGTGAGATTGGGACAGAATATTTAGGAATAGCTTGGCTTGCAGCTTTAGCCTTATGGTTCTTTTTTTTTTTTTTTTTTTTTTTTAAAAGGGAACTTAACGCAACACATGCAGAAAAAAAAACATCTGTGGATATTATGAATACAGAAGTACTTCTTCACAATTAACCATCAAATGCATCAATTATGAATGTTTTCAGTTCTTTTTTTTTACACTTCTATGGGACTCCCGGAATAGAACGATTGACTAGATATTCTAGTGTGGCTGTCTGTTCGCCATCTTGGATTCAGAGCGGGTTCACTTTTAATTACAACTGATAATATAACAACTAACAATGTTAGCAGAGACCATTCTACTGGCTGAAATGCACCACAGGAAGCGTTGCATTCAGGGAGGAAAGAAATTAATAAATCCAACAACAAAAAAACGTGAAAATGCCATGAGATTGGCGGAGGGTTAAAGCAGAAGCGGAGCGGGGGCCTTTACTCACCATCAGCTGTAGGAAGAGGTCGATGAGGTCCTGCGGGGGCAGCACCACCGAGGTGTTCAGAGGGATCACGAAGCAGGTCCTCAGAGTCAGGTCCAGATACGCCGTCAGCTTCTGCTCACCGGACACACAGACCAGCCGTCAGGAGAGAATTCAACCCCATCCCCCCACCCCCCCTTACAGGAGGGGCCGCCCACCCCGCTCCACCGTCCCTGGCCTCACCCTGTTGAAGTCGTGGAGAATGTAAGCGGGATCCCCGGGCCTGAAGCGCGGGGGGGGGACGCTGATGACGGCCATGCTGTCGGAGATCTCCACCTCCTCCTCCACCCGCGGCAGGTAGTAGGGCTGGCTCTCCGCCCCGTTGTGCACGTCGCTGAACTGCATGGCTCCGTGATACATCCTCTGGTGAAGGGAAGGGGGGGGGGAGGGGGTCAAGCAAAGGCAAACACGAGCAGATAAAACCGAATCCTATTAGCCGCTTATAGTAGAGAATCATTCACAGCGTTCTTCTATATGCGTCCCATATATTTCCTCTCAGTTTTTATCTGAACTCCTGATAAAAAACTGTGGGTTTAACTGAGAACTGTGTTCTGTCGGCTGCCAGGGGGAGCCAGAGCACAGCCTGGGCCCGGGATCATCAACAGACCGGTGCATCTTCGTGCAAGTTTAGAGGCCTTTCAGGGTGTTAAGATCACACCTTGGGGGCAGAAGTCTGCCCCTAAAGGGCAAAGATCCACTAAAACTATACAAAAAGTAGCTGCATCAAGTAGCAGCATGACGCATTTAGATGAGAGCTGTTTGGAAGCTTCGTGTTTTGTCGCTTTTTTGTGGGCTCTGAACAATCTGATCTGCGGTTGGCGTGCGGAGCCCTCGTTTCTCGGTGAGCTGGACGTCGGAGGCTTCGTCTGGGGGTCGGTTCAAACACGTCCTCCCTCAAACCGACCAAGTGTTGCTTTTGCAGTTTTGTGTCGGATTCACTGTGAAAGCTGAACCTCAAAGTTTCAATTCTCATTGAAACCGATGCGGGTTTTTTTTACTGTATAAGGGCCGTGCTCGTCGCATCCGAGCCCCGCAGTGCAGGGCTCGTCTCAGATGTTGAAAAAGAGGGTTTCTTGGGAGTGTTTGGCAGTTGTGTGTTGGCCCCCTGAATCTTTATGTGAACCGAGGTCTCTGTGGATTAGGTTTTGTTTTCCCACAGATTTCTTCACGTTGGTTTCCAAGCCCTTTCCAAGCAATCACCACTGCATGGAAACGAGATGAGCAGAGCTTCCTATTTGAACCGGGAGAAGTCACAATGCTCCAGCTGATCTGTGTATGTTTATTTTAATAAAAGGGGGTACAGGAAAACACATCTACCTGCTCAACCCGAGCCTAAATTTAGCCAAATCCTTGTTACAGAACAGAGAAAACCCACTTTGGACCATTGTTTCCTCATGTTTTGTTACACATTAAACCCTAGTTGTGCTTTTTAGACCGGCGCGATAAAAATGCTGAGCCGTTTTAGCCAAAAATGTGTCTTTTCTGTATATGAGGGAAAATAAAGGCAAAAGGGGCACTATTAAAATGGATGACATCAAGACTTTCTCTGAGGACAGAAGTGTGCCAGAGTCAGCATTTGATTTGATTTGTTTTTGTCCCCCTTTCCTCCATCAAGGGAATAATGCTCCCAGGAGTAGAAACATCTGGGTCAAAGTGACAAGTCTTTTACCAAAGGAGAGCCGGGTCATCCTTTACAATTTAAAATCCAGGGTTCCAGGGATTTACATCTCAAAGTCTGGATTTCTGTCATCTACTGTAATTTATTGACCTATTTAAAGTGCAGAAGTGATAGATGGAAGGTTTTGTTTTTATTAGTGTGGTCATATACAATCTAATAAATCTTAAAAATCATCTCAAATGATTACCCACCCCCCTCTTTGGGCTGAAAAGCAGACTTTAAAAGACGAATTATTCATGGATCTCGGCTGGTAAATGCGTGCCTTGGCAGGCAGGCAGGCAGACAGACAGACAGAAAAACAAACCTTTGGGGTGAAATATCGGTAGAGACACGCTCCCCCCACGATGAGCCCGCTGAGGATGAAGGCGATGCCCAGCAGGGTGAGCAGGCAGCGACCTGTGGAGCCCTCGGTGCCCGCCGGCGGAGCACCGGCCAGCTCTGGGTCCTGCAAAAAGACGCAAAAGCGCAACGTGACAGCGGAGGCTTGCAGGCTTGCATTTTTTTTTTTAACGTCGCCATCGAGGGCGCGTGCAGCTTCCCCAATCCTCTAATCCCACTCCCATCTTTGTCCCTCTGCGGGACAGCTGTGTGTGCGGAAGATGGGCGGTCCCGCTGCGCCCTGCGTCGGATGCGATGTTCCACAATATTTTTGCGTTTGTTTGCTTTGTTTTTTTGTTTTTTTATCACGATAATAAACATAGCTTCCCTGCTGCCAGAGCAGTAACAGGATTGTTGTGGTCGCGCTGCGCCCCCTGGTCGCGTCCGACCTGCTGACTGACCAGCCGGCCGGTCAGCAGGCGCAAGGCCTTTGACCGGCAGGCGCAGCGCGTCCCCGGGGCCGGTGGGCTCAGACCCCCACCCCCCCCACACCCCCCCTATCTCCCGTTAGCTCACCTTGACGGCGGCCGGCGCCTCTTTCCCCAGCGCCTTCTGCGCCAGGGCGGAGTTAAAGGCGATTTTCACCATGCTGGTTTCGGTCTGCGGCCGCTCGGTTCGTCTGGAGCAGAGAGGGGGGGAGAGCAGGTTCAGATCAGCGTCGATTCCTCCGCAGCTCAGCCCCTGTGACGCACTTTGCAACCTCGGATTTATCTAACGCTTCCGGTGGCCGTGCGTGTGTGCGTGTGTGTCGGAGACTATCACAAAAAAAAATAGCGCAAAAATAACCCCTCAAACTCAATCTTCTTTTCATCCATTACATAATTTACAACAGCTGATTGTGACTTAACCAAGAAAAATAAATGCGTTCATTGTCTCTTTTTTGTCTCCTTTTCTGAGTTTATTTTTTACCAGTTTTGGTGTCATCTAGTGGCCATTTACTGAAATCAAAAGTTTCCCCCTCTCCTGGGCTCTGAATTAAATTACATGGACAAAATTTAATACAGCACATGGGACACACATACAAAAAAAGATCTGAACGCGGTATTGGCAGCGTGGCGAACATGATATTTTGAGTGTATAATGTCCCTTATTCATCTCGGTGGACATTAAACTCTGTAAGCTGACCCTGCAAACACTTTCCCTCCTGCACGCCGTTGGCTGACCGGCCTGCCAGCGTGTCTGCCCACTCAAACTGACACATACAGGCAGCCTTCACCGAGCTGTGTGGAAACACAGACCGGAGCCAAGGCTGCGCTGTTGCAGTCTGACACACACACACACCCTCAGTCCTCGCTCTCTCTCCGTCTCCGGCCTGCGGTGGTCCTTCCCCTCTCCTCAGCGGAGGCTCGTGTGAGCAAATAAACACTTAGCTGCCACACCAGTGCTCTTAATTCCATGCAACCCGGTGGCACCTCTCCAGCCCCATGAACGGCAACTGTAGCTTATGCATCACAAACACAGGCCAAAGCACACACACGCACACACATACTCACACTCACACACACAGTGCAGTCTTACGATATTTCCTCTGTTAAACAGACAGATTGGACCGGTAATCACCACTGAAAGGTACATAAACAGAGCAGCTGATTTCAGTATTTCTGTACCCACACCCCCACACCCCTCCACACCCCTCAACACTGGCTCTGCCCGAGGATCCCAAGTGGTCCTGAAAGTTTGTTTATGGGCTCGTCTTACGCCCGGGGGTTTGATCTGAGAGCTCGCCCACACACACAGGCAAGCGTGGACACACACACACGCTACGCTGCAAGAGAGGCGGGGGAGCCAACATTAGCAGTAATAGGCGAGATGATAAACAAAAGCCTTTCGATTTAATCCCGGGTTTTTTTTCTCAGCATCGCACACAACGGAGAGGAAGCAGGGGTGAGGGGGGGGGGGGCGGGTCTTTTGTTTGAGAGAGACAGGGGGAGATGTGGGGGGGGGGGGGGGCAAGAAGCAGGTGGGGTGTGTATATGTGTATGTGGGGGGGTTGAAGTGATTTGAAGACAAGAGTGAAGTGATGACTGGGAAACAAAACAGAGGGAGCCTCCAGGAGAGACAGAGCAATCTACTGCATCTGATGCCTGAATGAGTTTTCCAAGGAGCTGATTAATGGCAGATTAAACCCGCCATCCGACCGCTTCCCGTCCAAAACCTTCCTAACGCGCCTGCCAGCCAGGACTTGTACGCCTTTCCGTACTGAAAAAGGGGTGGGGGTGGACGCACATGGATCGGGAATGGTGTTTTCGTGCCGTGGGCCTCGAAGTGGAGGGATGCACAATGGAGCCAGAACCCCAGCGTTTCCACCCGTGGCACGTGCACGTGCACGTCCGCCTGCGGTGTCAGCAAATTGTGACGGCCAAAAAGCGCCAGAGGAAGGAGCTCTCAAACATGACATCACCCGCTCGCGAGCGTGAACACAGACAGACACGCACTCAGCCGATTTGTCATCCATTTCGATACCAGACATGTGAAACCGCAGGTGACAAATGATTCTGTCCCCTTTTCTCCGCCACACACACACACACACACACGCTAGGCGCAAAACAGCGCCAAAAAAGTGCTTTGGCAACAGCTGGCCTCTGGGTTGCGTCTAACCAGAGAGTCAGAAGCCGCTCCATGCTTCATAACGTCACTGACAGGCCTTCATGTGGAGCCACCATAATCACCACGTGCCTCGAGCCGGGAGAACATTTAGTGGTCAAACGGGGAGACGGAGAGCATAGAGACAGATGGAGAAAGTGAGCAGATCTCTCGGGCAGACCTGCTTCAAAGCTCCTTTCAGATCCCCCGACCCTCCAACTCAGCGTTCATCACACTCTCTCATGATCCCCGGCCCACCACACAGACTTTTAGCGATCGCACATGGCTTTGAGACAAGGGTGACAAATGAGTCTTTCCTGTGAGTATCAGCTTCCCCAGCTACCTTCCCCTCTCTCGCAGCCCTGCCTGCTTTGTGCTCTCCGTTCTCTGAGCTCGGCGGACCTCAGGGAAATAGAACAATTTCATGCTGATGGAGCGCTGGAGGAGTGGATCAGGGAAGTAAAGATCAGTGTTACGTTACCAGAGCTTTTCATGAGGCTTGGCAGGTTTTTTTTTTGTGTGTTTTTTTTTCAAGCACTGGTCGAGTTATTTATAGACAAGATGTCTATATGTAGAAAATACGCATTTATGTGTTTATTTCATGACATTTGGTTCATTGAATGACAGGAATTTGTGTTTCGTGGAGTGATAAAAAGAAAAGGCCCGAATTCCCTTATCCAAAATATGCTATAAAACGCAATATTCCAGGTATGTTACAAATGTCAACAGTGTGAGAAGAGAGGTTTGGGTAATTTTTTTTAAGTTTTCAATTAAATAAAAGGAATTTGAGCAACAAGTAACAGATTTGGCTTGTTTTATAATTAGTTATTTTATGAGAGTCTACAGAAGAAGTCTACCAAGAACTATGATTTTAGATGATAATGTTCAGATTCCTGCTCTGGGTACATATGCAAATTACAATGTCTCCAGAGAGACAATATCACAGTTTTAGAATATGGAAATACTTTTTTACCAAGCATGTACAAAAATGAGGAAACAGTTTTTTTCTGTACAAAATGAGCTAATTTAGAATTAAATTTGGTGGCCAGAAAACGCTCTTATATGAACTTCCTCCCCTGTAGTCAAGCTAGCATTAGCTAAAAATACCTGTAGCACAAACAATATGTAAGTTTATTTTGTGCAGGGAGCAACTTAGAAGCTTCAGTGAATGTTAATAATGTGTCATTTTTTTGTATGATTTATATTATTTCATATATAAATTAATTTGTAAATGGCTTCTCCCCATTGTAGCCTATTTGCAGCAACTTGTGAGAGCTAGTCAAAAACTAGCTTACTAAGTCAAGCCAAAATGTTAGCATTGCTTTATGTGTGTGTGGTTTTTTTTTCACTTTAAATTTGGGACTGTATTATAAACCTACCTCACTGTGTTAAAGTTGACACCAAACCTTTTATCTCACAGTGTTCTTCATTAGCGGATTAGTGTTAGCAATCTAGATTTATGAACTTACAGTGACTCGATTGAGATAAGTAGTTTGTCCCATTGAAATTTGTCTGGTGCCATCGCTTTGTGAAATATTCAATAAGCTTATGTTATACCTTAAGTAAGATTGGAAATATAATAAGATAGCAGACTTGGGATGGTTTGTTTAGGACCTAATATTTGCTTACATTTGGTCGCTCTGATCAGAGTAATAAAAAAAGGTGAAGAGGCAGAAAAATGACAAGGAAGATTTCAAGAGTGAAAAGCTGTCTGGAAATGGGTGTACAATTTAAGGTAAGCAACTGGCACAAAGAGGAAGAAATAGGTGAGTAATCAAAAAGGATGAAGGGGCAGAGTGAAACGGAGGGATGAAAACAGATGAATGTCTGTTATGTTTCTGAGGGTTGAACTCCTGGGAAATGACCTCATCACGATACTGATCCAGAACGCTCCAGCCCTGTTGACTTTGCACCGGTGGAGAGGGCGAGCACGCACATACACTCGCTCTCTCTTCTTGAACTGTGGCCAACAGCATCACGGCCTGGCCGAATCACTTCCAGACTCAGTGACGTCACCTCTGTCAGGTTCACGGGAGGAGCATAAAAGCACACATACACACCAAGCACCTTTCCACCGGAGTGCAACACACGGATCTGTGTTTTTTCTTCAATAATGACACAAAGGCCCATTTCAAGGCTTTTTAGTCCAGCTCCCTTTGTGAACTCAGAAATAAGCTCAACACACATCAACCTGCGGGTACAGCACAGAACTGACAGGCTCAAACTCTCGTGGCTGAAAGCCATGAGGCAATAGGTCCTGCTGGACCCTAAAATGCCCCTAATAGGGTTTTAGTAGCCTGCAGAGGTTAGGGAACAGGTCGTTGGAAGGCTGTCTATCGTTGCTGTGCCAGCAACCACAAGAAAAAAAGCACGCAACAGACTGATTTCTGGTCGAGACCCGTGGACTTCTTGGGAAGCTCCCAGGTGTCAGTCTGCTCAATATGAATCCTGCAGAAACTCTCCAGCAAGTTAACAGCAGTGAAAAGCTATTCACTTGTTTAAATCAATCGCTTTCTTTTTTAATAGATTGTGAAACCTCAATCACGGATACGCTGACCCTTGAAAAAAAATAGGGAAAAAGAAAAGGGTACAACTATAACAGCTTGCCATTTTTTAAACAAACCGCACTGTAACAGTGACAAATACTTTTTACATCATATACTGTTTATTTTTTTTGGAACTGAGGGGCTAAACACGCGGCACTGAAAAAGATATAGAGGAAACATTTGTGTGCATTTAGTCTGTGTGTTAGTGCAGGCTTGATGCTTGAAGCTTCTACAACTGTTGACCTCCCCCACACCACCCCTACGTCTCACCATGTCAGAGTGCACCATGCTACGAGGAAAATAAATGTGATGTGATACACTGTGGATGAAAGCGATAGCCTGTGTGTGTGTGTTTGTGTGTGTGTGTGTGTGTGTCTTCATTGTCTGATTGTCTGGAAGGACTTTCCAGCATTTCAGAAGTCTAAGCCATGGTCAGGATGTAGTTATGGAGCGCTAATTTGAGAGCTGTCTGATTGCGGGCTTTCTGTGGGCCCCTACCAAACACACACACACACACACACACACACACGCACACACACACTTTTTTTTTTTTATCAGTCATTAATCTATCAGGTGTCATTAACGGGGGAGGATGGGCCTGATTGGAACCAGAAGGAGACAGTATGATGTCACACAAACACACTTCACTCCCTGAGCTTTCATGTGTCTCCATATTTCCCTTTCATCCTCATCGTCACCACACACACACACACACACACACACACACACACTCAGAGCCTCACATGAGACTGACATGTAGACAGATAAAAAGTACTGAAGTTGGCCTAGAAGGGAA